TAGCCCAGAGCCTATAGAGGCCGAGGTTCAACAAATTAGAGACAAGCTGAAATTTGGCATGGAGCTTCATTTTGTAGATCTTTAAACATCCTGAAACCCCAGCGATGAACCGTTGAGCCCGTCACACCAAAACCAGCCCTACAAGGGGTAAAAATGGCCCTTTTTTTACTTTTTCTTCAATAACTTTAAAACTACGAATTTTAGGAAAAAAGTCACGAATAAAAAATTGAAGAGAAGGAAATTTCCTACCACATAGGTAAAGAAGGGTAAAAGTCCTCATTCATTTCCACATTTGTTTGTGCAAGTGAGTCTCATTCGCTTGCATGCATGTACAGGGTGAGTCAACGATAGAGTAAAGTCCATTATCTCATTTGTTTCGAGCTTTACAAAAAAAATTTAAATATAAAAGTTATAGGGAAGGTTAAGATACATATTTTAAAATTATTATAGAGTATACAAAGTGCTTGAAAAAAGTGTGGCGGATATAACATATGTTTTTTTAAATGCAACACTATATTTTTTATTTTATTTTTAGATTCTGCGTAAAATTTTAAAATTTTTTTGTATATAATGTTATATACCTAAAATTAATAGTTTTTGTAATATTTCAATTTGTTAAAACAAATGATAAATTGCAGTGTGATAAAAAATTGTCAGTGGTGCCATTGTTTTTGAAGTTAGAGTACCAAAATTTGGTAGAAGAGTTTTATAGAGATGAAAAAAAAGATATATGTAAAGATATTTTAGTTAAATGATACAGGGTGTTTACAGGATATATTTATGAATTTCAACTACTTAATGTACTTAATGTCATATACCTATTTTTAATAGTTTGCGATTTATTCCAATTCTTTCTATCTTTACCCATATTTTTAATACATTTACCCTATAAAATCATAGTTGCCATGACAAAACAAACTATTTATTACTTATCTTTAACAAGTAGCTTAATAATTAGTTACAATTGTTGGTATTAGTCAAAATTAATTAACTTTACTCAAATAATATATTAATATGATAGATAACGCTTGGATTATTCGTAGGGACGAATAGCCACAGATTAAAGTAATACTAGATTACCTAATAATAAATTGTTGAAGACTACTGATATAGGAATTTTTTTGGACATACAGTAAATATTTTTGTCGCAGTAATTCTGGTTTATAATTCATTTGGTAAAGCCAATATTACTACTGCCGTGAAACCGTCCTATTACACACTGAAGATATTTTCTAGATAATCTACATCTATTATACTTATATTAATACTACTTAGCAAAGTACTATATAACATATTGTACTGAAATAAAAAATATGTTTTTCTTGGCTTGTTCGTGTATATCAGTCACACTGACTATATAATTCATTTCAGGAAAATCTGTAACTATTATCTCTACCATTTATACTTATTACAACAAATTACTAAAATTCAAATTTTGTTCTTAACTTGCTTAAAAAACCAGAAACTTTTATAATTATTACTTTTTGTCATGGTAACTATGATGTTATAGCGTAATTGTATTAAAAATATGTGTAAAAATAGAAAAAATTGGAATAAATCGCAAACTATTAAAAATAGGTATATGATATACTTAATAAAAGTTCAAAAGTTTTGTAGAGTCTATCAGAAAAAATAATAATATATAGGGTGTACCATTTAAAAAATTTGAAATTTCTTAATTTTATGTAGTTGAAATTCATAAATATATTTTGAACACCCTGTAGCATCTAACTAAAATATCTTTACATAGGTCTTTTTCTATGTCTCCATAAAATTCTCCTACCGAATTTTAGTTGTCCAACTTCAGAAACAATGCCATCACTGACAATTTTTTACCACACTGCAATCTAACATTTGTTTAAACAAATTTAAATATTACTAAAACTATTGGTTTTAGGGATATAACATTATATATATAAAAGTTATGGAATTTGACGCAGAATCTAAAAATAAAATAAAAAATAGGGTATTGCATTTAAAAAAACATATGTTATAGTCGCCACACTTTTTTGAAGCACCCTGTACTTTATAATAATTTGTACTCTATAATAATTTTAAAATGTGTATCTTAACCTTCCCTATAACTTTTATATTTAATATTTTTTTGTAAACCTCGAAACAAATGAGATAATGGACTTTACTCTATTGTTGACTCACCCTGTACATGCTTTTTTACAGCCTCCCGAAGAGCAATTGCAAAAAATTTTCTCCAAAGACCCATGTAGGAGCAGTGGGCTGGTCTGAATGTATCGGATTCATCTCTCGATTTTTCATTTTCCAACCCCAATCTTGCGGTGGTAAATTGTTATTTAACCAAGCCTAGTTTAGTTTAACATTTGAATGCAACATAAATTTAATTTACCTGATGAAAAACTCTAAGTCCATGATATTTCGCACTATTGGAGGTAAGTGGTAATGATGCCAAGTTGAAGTTGGTATTAAGACTTCGTTTAGCTACGTACTGTTGATATAGTCTATAAAATGAATAACTTTGAATTTTGACCGTTATTTTTTACCAACATGGCAAATATAAAATCCCTCTATCAAAAAAGTTACTGATATTCTTTAAATTGAATGCCTGAACTAGCCTGAACAAATCAGATAGGTAACTCGTGAAATAGAAAAGGAAAATAATAAAACAACTGACTTCTTGCAAAAATCAACACAATTGTCAAAAGTAAAATGTCATCAGCTTTTGATATTTCTAAATATCAGACCAATGCCGTCTCTAATAGAACAGCCTCGGAGCGAGATTTATGACGTCACGCTGGTTAGATACTACGGATTAATAAAATATGTTGTAGTATACATGTAAAACATAATAATTCCTCGTATTTTTGGTTTGTTTTTTAAAAATGATATAGTTTACATGAAATATACATAATATACAGTTAATAAATACTTTGCCAAATAAACTATGAACCATAGGTACAAATGCAGCAAATGTTTTACAATATACAAATAATGAATAGGTACATAAGATAATGGGTAATGTAAATATATTTTAGTTTTTGGGGTTTGAAAATCGATCTAATTTAACAAGAAACATTCAATATCTACTAATTGTGAAATATTATTATTTGCATTCACAAAACGTATATGTATATTTTGCAAGTATCAATGTTCGAAAAATTATATTTGCAAATAATACAATATCATAGAAAAAAGGCGTCAGAGATAGGTATAAAATAAAGATCGCTGTCATTTTATATGTAAAAATATTCTAAAATTTTTGATTTTCTTGTGATTTAGGTTCGGAAAATACGCTGATTAAGTTTTCATTTGTTTTTTCATTATTTCTTTTTGGTTTAAAAAAACATTTCGGCTAACATCATAGCCTTCATCAGTGTTGTGTCATGAAAAAAATAGTGTCGCATATAATCCAAAAAATTACATATAAAATATTCACACCACACACCACATAATGTTTACTTCAATTAATAAACTAATAAAAACTTGTTAAAAGATGACCACGAATTTTTTAAAATTATTATAAACTAACACTTAAACACATTATAAACACTAAAACTATCTACATTGACTATGGAGTACGATTTCAGCCATAGTAAGTAGTAGATATTGAATGTTATTTGTTAAATTAGATCGATTTTCAAACCCCAAAATTTAAAATATATTTTACATTTTACCCTTTATCTTATGTACCTATTCATTATTTGTATATTGTAAAACATTTGCTGCATTTGTATGGTTCATAGTTTATTTGCGAAAGTTTTATTACTATAAATAAGTAGGTATATATATATATATATATATATATATATATATATATATATATATATATATATATATATATATATTGTATGTTTTAACTGTATATTATGTATATTTCATGTAAACTATATCATAAAATACAAACCAAAAATACGAGGAATTATTATATTTTCCATGTATTCTGCAACATATTTATTAATGCGTAGTATTTAACTAGCGTGACGTCATAAATCTCGCTCCGAGGCTGTTCTATTAGAGACGGCATTGCGTCAGCATGGCCGCAAGTTGCTAACCTAATAAAATTAACACTAGAAAAGCCCGCGGGAACTGCCAAATTCAAAGTTATTCGTTTCACAGACTATAAAGGATGTATCTGGCACTATCCAAATCTACTTTTTTTTCTACTTCTCCTTTGTAGCCTCGGGATTATAAAATTCTTTTAATAGCTCACATAATTTTTTCTTCTGGATGGGGTGTTCACTAAATTAATATTCCCTTTATTGAACACAGCACACGTTGTGTCAAAACCAGATATAGCGTGGACACTACGAATCACATTCTTCAGATCCCCCAATTTTTGTTGTAAGGCCGATATGTCGATTATTTTATTTGGTTTTGACACCTTTCCCGGACGAATCATAAACAGTCTCTTGTGGCGATAATGAATCAGTAACGCTCTAATGTCCGTATCTTCGCTAACTACTGCTACGGTCCCTTCTGGTAAATTGTCACTTATTGCGACCGCTGTAGTTACAATAAGAGTATCGGCATCATCATCAGCGAATTTAACATTGATTTCATTTTCCAACAATACTTTTCCGAGCGCACGAATCATGCACGAATGAAGTTGCTTTTGTTGGTGTTGTTTGACAAAAAATCTGCCTTTGGTACCTTCACTGCATTCGTCCCATAAACTTTGGTACGACAGATATCGGAAATGGAGAACTAATCTCTGCAAAACCGTCTCAGATACTGGCTTTCGTCAAAGCCCTCAGATTGTATCACATATCACATATTCACCTTTGTTGAACGAATATGGGTTGTTATATTACAAGCTTTTTGTAGAATATGTTTGGACCACCTTGCATAGGGTCCAAATCATGTTAAAAAAATAAATTTATTGCTAGAAGAGAAGTTAGTTCTTCTCCTTGTAGCTTCTTCATCTCCAATCTGTACCTCCGAGCTTGACCCGAGGTAGAGATGCTAATGCTAACGATGCACCGAGGAAGATCGCCTCGTTTGGAGGGGGTTCCATGGGTATAAATCCGTCCGGGACAACGGCAGTGTCATAACTTTAGTGTCCAGTGCAGTGCTTCATTCTTCTTTCGCCAGGAGATCAGATTGGTTCGTTGTTCTTCGCTAGTTCTGGCAGTTAGATTCCAGAGAATTTTTGAGAGAAGAAAGAAACAGTTTTAACAAAGGTAGGAGGAAAAGTTTTGTGTAGATAATATAATTATATTATACTAATTAATAAAAATCTCTCTGTCCATTTTGTGGGAAAATCAAGTTTTTAATTTAATTTTTATTATTTCAATTTTTTTTTTACCTGTGTTATACAGGGTGAGTCTACACTAACAAGTGCAAATATTTTCAAGGCTGGTAAATCCGACTTATTTTACTTAAATTAATTTTGAATTAAATTTTATGAACCACAGTTTTTTTCTGTTTTTTTTTTCTTATAAATTTAATCTAATATCTATGTTGCCATTAAAATTAGTACCAAATTTTCAATTTTTTTTTGAGAAAAAAATTTCTAGGATTATATTTGCACTTATTTAAGCACTAACTACAATACACAGGTATGATCGTCAAAAAATTCATTATTCGATAAATTCTTTATTTAATTGCATTATTTAAGTTATCTAGAAGTATTTAAATTTCACTATGCTTTCTGTTTTAATCTAAGGCAAACTAGTCATATTAAAATTCAAAGTAAAATACCAACATATTAATTTATTGTGTTTATATTAACATTTACAGTTAGGCAGGTTAATATTTCAAATAAACAGAAAATAAATATTAATTAACGAGAGTTTGGTACGAACTTAATTATGATTCAATGGCAAATAGACAATAAACAGAATTTTTAACAAAAATTTATTGATAGGGAATAGAAATCTGAACCAACTCCAATAAATAATAAAGCTAAATGTAATTATTTGTTTAAATTATATTAAATTATGTGTAGGTATTTAAAAAAATTCTCAATATCACATTTGTCTCTTCCTTTTTTATATCAATATAACATACATGCTAAATTAAAATATTACTGATTTATATACAGGGTGTGATAAGACTAGTGTGTCAATCTTTAGTGATTGATACTATACAGGGCGAGTCTTAAATAAGTGCAAATATTTTTAAGGATAGTATATTTCGCCTCCAGAGACACTTTTGGATTTTTTTTTAGTTTTTAGTTAAAACACATAATTTCTGGATAATAGAGCAACATAGATAGTAGATTAAATTTACAAGAAAGAAAACACAGAAAAAATCTGTATATTATGATCATAGGAACTTTTCTATTTTAATTTTACCTATAAATTAGTTATTAATTTTATCTATAGATTATCTATAGACCCGCTGAAGTTTGGTTACTATTTTTACTCCCTGTATACCATCAGCGTAATTTTTTATGGTTATCCTTTTCCCTTAATAAAAATTATAAAATAATTCCCTTTTTTTTCGAAAAAAATTAGTATTAGAATTTTTATTGTAGGTATAGTTTTTTACCTTTTATTTAAGTTTAGAAAAATAGATTTGATTCTCTAATGTTTTTCATGTCTTTTCTTGGCCATGACTCAATTTTTTCAAATGGAACAAGGGTGGCTCATTAGCATATTTAGAAAAAGCATTTTTTTACGAATAATTTGATACCACACACTTGGTATTTCGAGTCAAATTGTCGTTATGAAGAAAATGATTTTTTACAACGAAATATTTTTTTTTGATTTATCAAAGTTAAAAATAAGTTAGGTATATTTAATAATACTTGCACACTTATTTAAGATACACTCTGTATACACACTTTAACGATAAAGGTAAATAAATAAGGAAAAATCCTATATGTTTTATTTTATCAATTATTTAATGACTTTTTCTTGTATTTTATGATTATTTTTACTTCTAATTTTACATACTTTCTTTGCTTTCTAACCTACAAGACTTTGCTGTTAAGTAAAACTTTTTTTTTATCTAAAACCAACCGTAATCATTTCATTTTGGGTACCCCTACATGATATATTCAGTAGTAACAAATAATTGTCCTTGATATAATTGAATTAAACATAACAATAAAAAAGATAAAACACAATACACAGAAATAATTATATTGATAACACTATTGGGACCACTAAAATTTAGAGATAAAGATACTTCAAATAATAGTCTACAGGAAGTTATATTATTTCTATTTTAACTAAAAACAATTATTATTGTTTTATATCCTATGAGCCATTCAAATACCAAACAAGGAAAAAGAAATAGGTACCGGGTGTTCCACTAAGAATAGCTCTCGGCTGTATCTCGGAAAATATTAGCCCTAGGGCTTACGGAAAAAATATTTATAACTAAAGAGGCTATAAGAAATTGCTGAAAATTATTTTCATGTTTGTAAAACGGTCGCTAGGTGGCGCAACTGCTATGGAAAATAAGAGAATAGATTTTTTACAGAATTTTGCCTAGATAATGGGTACTATAAATAATAGCCTCATAATCTTCAGTAAATTTTGGATTTTTTTTGTTAGAACCATTTCCCCCTATCTGCTAAAATAAAGTGGTGGGGGAAGGTTAGATCTCTCTTTATTTAAATGTAAATAACTCCGGACTGGATGATCAGAATCCAACAAACGAGGGCTCGTTTAAAAGAGCGTTTCTTACTCTATATTATACCATAAAAATAATAATAATAAGGTTTTGAACGTAGACGCTAGGGGGCGCTTTCTTACAATTTAACAAACATAGCGCCTTTTTTCAAAAAAATTAAATACGATAGTATGTGTTATTTTAGCTGATAGTAAAGAGTAGTAAAAGCTTAACAAGTCAGCGAAAACCGCATCTTGATATCTTCTTTCAAACCGAAGATATTAGCAAAATTATAATAAATACCAAAAAATAAGCCCTTAATTACCTTATTTTTAAAACACGGTATCAGTAGCCCTCTTGATTATGCCCATTTTAAGAAAAAAATAAGATAAAAACAGTTAGTTTATTTTAAAATCGACGAAATACCAGAATACCATAATACCAGATGTATTCATATCTAATAATTAAGATATTAATAAGAGTGAACAAGAAACGATGATTCAGTGAAGTCATGGTAGGCTTTGGAAAAAAGTTGCTTTTGACGTAATAGTATAAACGTCAAATTGTTATTCGATCAACATTTTGAAAGTCTTTTATCTTTTGGTTGCTTTTTCAAAATGCCAACAACTTCACATCCTGTATATTTAATTAAAATTATTTACGTACTTATCTTTCATTCATGATCTAAAGTAGACTCATAATAAAAATAAGCGTGTATGTATCTAGAATTGTTAAGTAAAATACTCTAATAAATATTTATATTTGTGTTAGCATGCATTTTTAATGCTGAAATTGTTACTAATCGTTACTGTCATCTTTAAAACCGAATATCTTCAACATAATAAGAGCTATTGAGGTGAATCAAGAAACACATTATCGAAAAAAGATGCATCTTGATGATAACATGGTTTTTAAATTCCTTATTTTGCTAAAACCATTCTACAGGATACTTCGAACTTTCACCAATATAACAACAATTTGATTAAAAATGTTGTTATGATATTTATATATTTATATATTTTGAAAAAAATATATAAATGCGGAATATCACTCAGCAAAAGAGTGGTTATATTCGCAAAATGACTTTTATCCTTTAGGACAAGTAGTAACTTAATGATTATCCATTGTTTATTAGTGTTTCACAACGTAGTTACGCTGAATCATCGCAATTTTCCATTTTGTTTAAAGGTTGGGTACTGTACCCGGTCAAACTCAAAAAAAGGGAGAGTCAGTGACATTTCAGACGTTTGCGTTGGATTTCGGTATGGCGAAACTGCAGCCTCGTCGTTTTTCAGCGAAAATAACAAAAGGAACAATTTAATTTTGTTTTATCTTCTAATTAAGTGCAATAACAAACAATTAAGGTGATTCGTCTCAGCAATTAGTTGATAAAATTGAATTAAAAATATACTTATATTTCGGTGGGCACAGGCAAGAACTGTTATACAGGGTGTTTTAAACTTGGTTGTCACCATTAGGAGCTCGGAAAGGGTTCTTGGGCAAGTGCGATATTATTATTGTATTTGGTAGCCATCTTGATTGCCATTTTATTGAAAAATCGCTTTTTATTCAAAATCTGAGCCAGATAGGTATAGGAAAAAAAATATAGTTTGAAAAAGCATTTAAATCTGCTTCGACTTATTTAAAAAAATACACAGTGTTCAATTTGAAATAACGAAGTTTTTATGTAAAATAAATATTTAAAATAGACCAGCAATTTTTGACACCCCTGTATAAATTTAAGGAAGCAATACATTTTTTTAGTAAAGTTTATTTCTCTGGCTTCAAAGTCAGCACAGGGTGTTGACAAAGTTTTTTATTATGGCATGCATATTGAAATATCTTTAAATATCTCAAAAACCAAAGCATTATAATAAATGCCTTATTTTATGCCCAAGAATCCAAAAATGAAATAAAATACCTGGTGTTCCATAAGAAAAAATATAACTTTGGTATGGATCTTAGTTCTGACACGCCCTGTATATTTTAAAATATGCACATTGCCTCTCTACATACACCCATAAAAAATGTTGTTTCTATATCTTTCCGTTTCCGTATAATCAACCGAGGTGAATGAGGTGCGGCACCCTGTATACGATAGAATCATCTCGCATCAGGTTCTTTACCCCGAAAATCTTTGATTACATCTAACGGTACATATTTTTGCTTCCATGATTCGATATACAACGTTATGGACGCCCCCTAAAGATAGTATCAGACATAGCTACTTTTGTTGCGCAGCACATTAAAAAACTGCGCAACTTGATCTGCTGCAAGTGTGAATACCTAGGCAACCTGCAACGTTGCGATCGCAGCTTGGTTGCGTAGGGTATTTTTTTGTTGCGCGCAGTTTAAGAAACAGCCGTGTGTGAACAGTTGTTGAGGAAGGTTGCAAGTGCAGCAAAAGATTACTAATCAGTTGAAACTTTTACTGCGGACATCGGTGCAGTATTCTGTTGGTATGCCCGAAATGTATACACTTTTTTTCAGTTTACTCCAGGATTTATATGAAGGTATTTGGTAAAGAATTAACCGACAAATTGCGATGTCGTCAAAGTCAAAACAAGCGATTTGGAATAGAGAACGAGTAAAATGTTTAATAGAAGAGGTAGAAGCA